GACAAATTTAGGAATGTATTTTTAAAAAGATGATTGTATGAGTCTTATCAATGAATAGACTCAGTAGCATGCCTCTGACATTAAACTCAGTAGCATGCCTCTGACAATGTGATGTGTCAAGAAAAGTGTATTAGTTATATATTGTTTTATAACAAATGACCACAAACCCATCAGCTTAAAACAACACACATCTATTATTGCACAAATTTCTGTGGGTCAAAAATCTGGGAGTGGCCCAGCCAGGTGCTTTAGGAGCTGTCACGTTGGTGAAATAAAGATGTTGGCAGGCTTGGGGTCTTATCTGAAGGCTTGACTTGGGAAAAATCAACTTCCAAGTTCATGTGATTGTGGAAGAACTTCATTTCCTTAAAGGCTTTGATTGGAGGGCCTTAGTTCCTAGCTGGCTATCAGCCAGAGGCCACCTTCAGGTCCTTGCCATGTGGGTCTCCTCAATATGACAAGTTGCTTCATCAAAGCCAATAAGGGAGAGAGTCTCTTAGCAAGATAGGAGTCACAGTCTTATGTGGACTATGATGAAATTGGCATGCCGTTCCTTCTATTGGTTGGGAGCAAATCAGTCAGGCAACCCACACTCCAAAGGAGGGAATTATACAGGGCATGAATACCAGAAGCAGAGATCATTGTGGGCATCTTAAAATCCACCTGTCACAAAGATTCTGGTTTTTTTTCCCAAGAAAAAGGAGTTTTAAATTCTGAGTTCTCCTAATATATTTAAAGATTAGTTTATTTGCCAAAAGTAAAAAGTGATAATTAAATGCAATGTAGGATCCTAAATGGAGATCCTGACAAAATTCAAATAAGGTCCTTAGTTTAGTTAAAGGTATTGTATCAATGCAAATTTCCTGGTTCTAATAATTATACTATAGTTATATAAGATGTTTACCTTAGGGGTCTCTGGATCAAGGCTATATGGAAACTTTCTGTACTATTTTTATAATTTTTCTGTAAGTCTTAACAGTAGTTCAAAATAAAAAGTTAAGAGAAAAGTGATTTATAAAACTTAAAAATCCATTAACAGTAATTTTGTTATATACATTATAACAAAATTATTAAAGATAAATTCTCCAAATTTTTATAGATAAACTACAAATTTTGGTAGATAAATCATTTAGAACATCCTTCCTAGTGAAAACACCATAAAAACTTCACTATCACCATATAGTAGTATTATTTATACAATTATCAAGTGTTTCAACAAATAATAATAGAGGTGGTATAAAATTTTCTGCTTTAACTTTAGATGAAATGTACTAGGGACTTTTTCATAACACCAAATTTACTTCAGACACCATTTAAAATAATCACACATTTAAAATAGTTTTTAGATAGCCAAAGTGGACTCCTTCCCTGTGCAGACCACAGGTCCTTAGTCTGTGGCTTGGATATAGACACATATTCCAAAACAGTGTGGCCTATCTCACCACTGTGCTCCATGTGATGAAAAGCAAAATGCTTCAACCTTTCATAGACAGTTGAATTTTATACAATGCAGGAACAAATTACTCCTCATATTGCTCACTGTTTGAAAGTGCTGCTAGTTATTAATACTCTGTCACTATTTCACATATCCTGGTTCAGCAACTTAAAGCTTATGGGTCTCGGTTATACCTCTTAAGAGAACTATTTGGAAACACTATAGACATTTTTCTTAGGCCCTATTTTTAGAATGGAGGGCCTAATGGTATTTTAATGTCTCCATAATATTCCCAGAACAAATCTTGAGAAAAATGCCTGTTACCTTTTGAAATTTAGCAAAACTGGTGGGATTATCAGTGCTCCTCTGAGAAACACTGCCTTAAAGAATGAATTTTGACTCAGAATGTTAGTATAGTAGTAAAAGGACTATGAAAAATGGTCCACACCCCAGCTCTTCCAAAACCCTCATTTTTCAAGTGAGGAAACTGAGTCTTGGCATGAGTGAACTGTTGGCCCAAGTTCGAACAGTGGAGGAGTGGCCATGTGAAAGCTGCAGGTGATGGGTTGAGGCTTTCCTGCAGAATAAATGACCACCATAAGAGTCAATGACAGTGAGTCCATTTCTGAATTAAAGACTTAAATTTAGAACTTGAGAACAGTCTGCTGGCCTCCTGCATGAAACTTCATTTTCGTTACCCTAAAAGATTCTAAGAAAAGATATGGAATGATTTAAAAAATTACGTTCAGAAATGAAGAAAGCTCCAGGAACCACTTGGGAGAGTTGTGCTCCAGAGTGTTATTCAGCTTTTTAGACATTTTTCTCATTTTCAAAAAAATGTTGAATGATTTTTTTACCCTTTAAATAATATCTGGAATTTCATCAGTTAGGGATTCCTTTGCCCCAGTGAGCAGTCTTCTTTTAATGATGCAAAAGTCTCGGGGAGGGTTAAGTGTTCATCTATTATTATGTATTACTCTGTATTTTTTCATCCATTTTCTTATTTGAAGGCCTAATTGATATCAGCTGCAATTAGGAGGGCAGCTTTGATTGTAGGAAGGGAATGATATGTTTCAAGCACTCTGGTAGAGTGGCCATCTGGGTAGGGTGCTGGCATCAGGGTGATCAGGATGGCATTGGGACACTGGGATCCTGGTCAAGGACTGGGAGGCAAAGGAGGAACACCAAAGACAAGCCTCGCTTGTTTTACAGCTTTACTGTGGGCTGGCTCGTACCTACAGAAGAAAGCAGAAATGTCTTTACCCTTTCCTTGTGTTCCGTAGCCCCTTTGACAAATACTGATTCGATGCACATTTTACTAGGTTTTTGTAGAATGAAGGGAGATCTCATGCATCATGTATATGATGGTGCCACTCACAAAGTGCATATTAAGATTTGCATTCTCAGCTGGGTTCAGAGGCTTATGCCTGTTATTCTAGCACTTTGGGAGGCCAAGGCAGGCGATCACTTGAGGTCAGGAGTTCGAGACCAGTATAACCAACATCTCTACTAAAAATACAAAATTAGCTGGACAAGGTGGCACACATCTGTAATCCCAGCTGCTCGGGAGGCTGAGATAGGAGAATCACTTGAAACCAGAAGGTGGAGCTTGCAGTGAGCCAATGGTGCCACTGTAATCCAGCCAGGGTGAGAAAGCCAGGCTCCGTTTAAAAAAAAAAATCGTGTTGTGCTTTCAAGACATGCATTCATGAAATTAGGAGATACCGGTAGTACAGTAGTCGATAGAATAGGTCCCGGGTCAATCTGCCCGAGTTCTAATCCTGACTCTGACACTCATTCCCTCAGTGAACTTGGACAAATGTCTTATTTTTCTGTGCTTCAGTTTCCTTATTTGTGTATTGGGGATGAGCAATGACACCTATTACTCATCCTGTTCTGAGAAATCAATGAGATGATGCGTGTGTGACACTAAGAACAATGCCTGGGAAAGAATAAGAAATTATATATTCTCCACATTCCTTAACTGTGTATTCTAGTTTTAATTGAGAAAATATGTTTGCTAACTTCTCTGGGATAAGATTCAGGACAGGCAGGAAATATTTAAAAACAGTGTTATTTAAGTGACCCTCTCTCAGTCTTAGGAATATCTAATGTATTTCAGGTGTCTTCTTTATACCAAGTAACTTGCCTGAACAAATTCACGTTTTATATGCTGAAGCTAATTCTTTCAAATGCAAAACCTCTTCTTCGACATCTTCACTATTGAATTTGGTTACATATTAATGTTTGTAGTTAATTATATGAATATCAGTATTCTAAAAGATACTCAGTTTTAAGGTAACTTTCTGAGATGAAGGTAAAATATTTTTTTCTGAATGTAGAGGCTGAGTTTCCCTTTTCATGTTTATGTACAAAGATCTCTCCCCCAAGATTATTTTAAAGACCCTATTTGTTCCATTTGATCTCAATGGCTGGCATATTCCCCTATGCTTTTGTAATCTGTAGAAATATGAGTGGGGTATTATATATGTGCTTATCTGATCAAGGAGTTTTGAAAACCCAATGATCAGGTCCTTATAAGAGAAGAGCCAGGGAGAGTAGGTAGAATGTGTCCTGAAACTTAAAGCACCAAAATTCTATTCCTGCTTCTGCCATTGGGAGCTGTTTGACCTCAAATCCATCCTAGAATCTCCCTGGAACTATTTCATGTGATGGATTGTTTAATGTACTGTTTAAGGTTTGTTGCATATCCAATACTGCACAATTCTGTGACACCTTGTTGACTCTACATTTGTGAAGTATATGCTTGATTTAATTGACACATATATTTTCTTTCCCAGCTTCCTTAAAACTATTTGAAATTCCTTTACCAGTTGACCAGCCAGGGTGAGAGATGCAGCCTATAGCTGTAGCATAGAAAGTTACCTGAGTCTGTAAGGAAGCAAGTCCATGGCCTTGACTTTCTTAGTATCCATCTCCATCCACAGAGCTGTGGATCTAGGACTGTTTCATGGCATATAAGTGAATAAAGATAAGCTCCAGGGGTGTCATTACTCATACTATTAACAGACAATTGCTTGCATTGTTTTATTTTGCAGATAACATCTGAAAAGATAAATAACTGTACAAGGTCTTCCAAGTTGCCACTCATCTGTATAATGTTCTTTTTCCTGCGAGGCTGGGGAAGTTAATAATGGAACAGCTTACTCTCTGCTGCCGCTCAGAGATACTTGAATTTCTCAAAGGAAAGATAAAAATATAAGAACTTGTTTTCGACCTACTTCTGCCTTTGCAATTTGAGGGCCTTCATTTCGGTGTTAATTTTCCCTTTGATATTAACAAAGCTCTTTTAGGCTGATGACTATATTTTAGCTCATTAAATATTTTAAAAATTGTAATGGATACTCCTACAAGAAATAGATGATATAGAATGAGCTATTTCTTCTAGAATCAAGACAATAGAGTAGCTAAAATCATTGTCATTGGACTGAATATAAAAATTTAAGTTGCTGACTATAGTAAGTATAAATTAACTTTAATTTCACTATTATTTCAAAAACTGTTCTGTAGATATTAATTTTTCATCTTTCTCTTTTTTTTTCAGTCATGGACTCCTGCCCTGTAGGTCCTTCTGTGAGGCTGCAAAAGAAGGCTGTGAATCAGTCCTGGGGATGGTGAATTATTCCTGGCCAGATTTCCTCAAATGCTCCCAGTTTAGAAATGAAACTGAAAGCAGCAACGTCAGCAGAATTTGCTTCTCACTGCAGCAGGAAAACGGAAAGCAATGTAGGTGTCTGTGTTTAATTTCATTTTTAGAAGTTTTTATTTGAGTATGCCATTTATACAGGAATGGATATAAATAATAAGTGCACAGTCTGATAAATTTTAACAAAGTGACAAGATCCCTGTAACCAGAACCCAGATCAAGAAATAGAATATTAACAGCATCCTCAGAAATGCCTGCAAGCCCACTGCCTGTCATATCTCTGTTTGTCCTTAAAAGAAATCTCTGTTCTTACTTCTAACCTTAAAAGAAACCTCTGTTCTTACTTTTGTCATCTTAGATGGTTTTGCTTAATTCTGAACTTCATATAAATGGAATCATACAAAATGTAACTTTTTAAAACCTGTCTTCATTTGCTCAGCATTATGCACAAGAAATTAATTACATCTGCATATTGTGATTCATAATTACATCTTCATATTGTGATTCATTCATTCTCATTGTTACATAGCATTCTAATAATATATGATTATACCACAATATATTTTTTCCATTCCGCTGTTGATGGACATTTGAGTTATGCTGTTGCAGTCGGTTTGCCAGTATTTTATTGAAGATTTTTGCGTCTATGTTCATCATGGATATTGGCCTGAAGTTTTCTTTTTTGTTGAGTCTCTGCTGGGTTTTGGTATCAGGATGATGTTGGACTCATAAAATGATTTGGGAAGGATTCCCTCTTTTTGTATGGGTTGGAATAGTTTCAGAAGGAGTGGTACCAGCTCCTTTTTGTATGTCTGGTAGAATTAGTTGTGAACCCATCTGGACTTGGGCTTTTTTTGGTTGATAGACTCTTAATTGCTGCCTCAACTTGAGCCCTTGTTATTGGTCTATTCAGGGTTTTGACTTCTTCCTGGTTTAGGCTTGGGAGGGTGCAAGTGTCCAGAAATTTATCCATTTCTTCCAGGTTTACTGGTTTATGTGCATAGAGTTGTTTGTAGTAATTTCTGATGGTAGTTTGTATTTCTGTGGAATCTGTGGTGATATCCTCTTTATCTTTTTTTATTCCATTAATTTGATTCTTCTCTCTTTTCTTGTTTATTAATCTGGCTAGTGGTCTATTTTGTTTATCTTTTCAAAAAACCAGACCCAGGATTTATTAATTTTTTGAAGGGATTTTTGTGTCTCTATCTCCTTCAATTCTGCTCTGATCTTAGTTATTTCTTGTTTTCTGCTAGCTTTTGAGTTCTTTTGCTCTTGCTCCTCTAGCTCTTTCAATTTTTATGATAGGGTGTTGATTTTAGATCTTTCCTTGCTTCCCATGTGGGCATTTATTGCTATAAATTTTTCTCTAGACACTGTTTTAAGTGTGTCCCAGAGATTCTGGTATGTTGTGTCTTCGTTCTTGTTGGTTTCAAAGAACATCTTTATTTCTGCCTTCATTTCCTTGTTTATCCAGTCAACATTCAAGAGCCAGTTGTTCAGTTTCCATGAAGTTGTGTGGTTATGAGTTAGTTTCTTAATCCTGAGTTCTAACTTGATTGCACTGTGATCTGAGAGACTGTTTGTTAAAATTTCCGTTCTTTTGTATTTGCTTAGGCGTGATTTACTTCCAATTATGTGGTCAATTTTAGAGTAGGTGTGATGTGGTGCTGAGAAGAATGTATATTCTGTGGATTTGGGGTGGAGAGTTCTGTACGTCTATTGTGTTTGCTTGGTCCAGATGTGAGTGCAAGTCCTCGATATCCTTGTTAATTTTTTGTCTCATTGATCTGTCTAATGTTGACAGTGGAATGTTAAAGACTCCTACTATTATTGCATGGGAGTCTAAGTCTCTTTGTAGGTCATTAAGAACTTGCTTTATGTACCTAGATGCTCCTGTATTGGGTGCATATGTATTTAGGATCATCAGCCCTTCTTGTTGCATTGATCCTTTTACCATTATGTAATGCCCTTCTTTGTCTCTTTTGATCTTTGTTGGTGTAAAGTCTATTTTATCAGAGATTTGGATGGCAACCTTTGCTTTTTTTTTGCTATTTGCTTGGCAAATATTCCTCCATGCCTTTATTTTGAGCCTGTGTGTATCCTTGCACATGAAATGGGTTTCCTGGAGACAGCACACCAATGGGTTTTAATTTTTTATCCAATTTGCCAGTATGTGTCTTTTGTTCAGGGCATTTAGCCTATTTACATTTAAGGTTAATATTGTTACATGTGAATTTGATCCTGCCATTTTGATGCTAGCTTGTTGTTTTGCCCGTTAGTTGATGCAGTTTTTCATTGTGTTGATGGTCTTTACCATTTGGTACATTTTTGGAGTGGCTGGTACTGGTTGTTCCTTTCTGTGTTTAGTGCTTTTTTCAGGAGCTCTTGTAAGGCAGGCCTGATGGTGACAAAAATCTCTCAGCAATTGCTTGTTTGTAAAGGATTTTATTTCTCCTTCACTTATGGAGCTTAGTTAGGCTGGATATGAAATTCTAGGTTGAAAGTCCTTTTCTTTAAGAATGTTGAATATTGGCCCCACTCTCTTCTGGATTGTAGAGTTTCTGCCAAGAGATCTGCTGTGAGTCTGATGGGCTTCCCTTTGTGGGTGACCCGACCTTTCTCTCTGGCTGCTCTTAGCATTTTCTCCTTCACTTCAACCCTGGTGAATCTGACAATTATGTGCCTTGGGGTTGCTCTTCTTGAGGAATATCTTTGTGGTGTTCTCTGTATTTTCTGGACTTGAATATTGGCCTGCCTTGCTAGGTTGGGGAAATTTTCCTGGATAATATCCTGAAGAGTGTTTTCCAGCTTGGATTCATTCTCTTCATCACATTCAGGTACACCTATCAAACGTAGATTAGGTCTTTTCCACTTAATCCCATATTTCTTTGAGGTTTTGTTAATTTCTTTTCACTCTTTTCCTCTAATCTTGCTTTCTTATTTTGTTTCATTGAGTTGCTCTTCAATCTCTGATATCCTTTCTTCTGCTTGGTCAATTTGGTTATTAAAACTTGTGTATGCTTCTTGAAGTCCTTGTGTAGTGTTTTTCAGCTCCATTAAGTCATTTATATTCTTTAAGCTGTTTATTCTCATTAGCATTTTGTCAAACCTTTTTTTAAGGTTCTTAGTTTCTTTGTATTGGGTTAGAATATGTTCTTTTAGCTCAGAGAAGTTTGTTATTACCCACCTTCTGAAGCCTGTTTCTGTCAATTCATCAGACTCATTCTCCATCCAGCCTTGTTCCCTTGCTGGTGAGGAGTTGTGATCCCTTGGAGGAGGAGAGGCATTCTGGTTTTGGGTGTTTTCATCTTTTTTGCACTGGTTTCTTCCCATCTTTGTGGATTTATCTACCTGGGGTCTTTGTAGTTGGTGACTTTGGGATGGGGTCTCTGACTGGACATACTTTTTGTTGATGAATGTATTTCTTTCTGTTTTTTAGTTTTCCTTCTAACAGTCAGGCTCCTCTGCTGTAGGACTGCTGAAGGTCCACTCCAGACACTGCTTGCCTGGGGATCACCTGCAGCATCTACAGAATAGTAGGGGTTGCTTCCAGTTCCTTCTTCTGTTATCTTTGTCCCAGAAGGCTACCCTCCAGATGTCAGCCTGAGCTCTCCATTATGAGGTGTCCGTTTGGATATACATGGGTCAGGGAGCTGCTTGAGGAGACAGTCTTATAGGAGCTCCAGTGCTGAGCTGTGAGCTCCATTGTTCTGTTCAGAGCTGCTGGGCGGGTACGTTTAAGTCTGCTGCAGCAGAACTCATAACCACCTTTTTTTCCCAGGTGCTCTGTCCTGGGAAGGTGGGGATTTATTTATAAGTTCCTGACCTGCTGCTGCCTTTTTTCAGAGATGCCCTGAGCAGCAAGGAGGTAGCCTAGTCACAGTCTGCCAGCAGAGGCACTGCTGAGCTGCTGTGGGCTCTGTCCAGCTGCTGTGTGAACCTCCTTGCCATTCTGTTTATAGAAGTATAGTTACAACTGACTTGGTAATGGCAGTCTTCCTCAGTAATGGCAGACTGCCTCAATGATAGTGAACTGCTTCAGTAATGGCAGACTGTCTTGGTAGTGGTGGACTGCCTTGATAATGGAGGTGCCCTTACCCCCACAGAGCTGGACTGTCCTGGGTCCAGCTGTGCTTGTTGTGAAACTCTCAATCCAGAGTGTTTCAGATTGCTGGTCTTTGTGGGGGTGGGACCTGCCAAACCAGATCACCTGGCTCCCTGTTTCAGTCCCCTTTTTTTCAGTTGAATGGGCAACTTTGTCTCCCAGGCATTCCGGGTGCCATTTGAAATGGCCACCCAGATTTGTATGAGTTTTTATGTGGAGACCTGCTGTGCTGGCTCCAGCTATGCTGGAGACTCCTGGTGCTTTTCCACCCAGGAATCTCTTGGTCTGTGGGCAGTAAAAATTCGTTTGGAAATGTGGTGATCACTCACCCTGTGCATTCTCGCTGGGCACTGCACTCCAGAGCTGTTCCTATTCAGCCTTCTTGGATCATCTCCCTTCTTTTAGATTTTTGTTTAGCTTCTTGTTTGCCCTGAGTGATATCCCCACCTCAGACAGTTGCAACGTTATTTGGTTATTAATTTTTGTTTGTTTGTTTGTTTGAGAAACACCCTGAAGAAAAGGCTGTTTGCACTGAGTAAGCTCTTAATCAGGTCAAATAATGACATTTGCTCTGAGATGAGTTTCCAGGTATCTAACAGAAAGAAAAGTAATGACAATTCTTTGGTAATGGGGCATTTTGGAGATCTGCAAACATGTTCTGCCCCTTCTAGTGGCTGCTTGGTTGCTCATTTTAACAGCTGATGTAGTTGTGAGTTTATCTAGATCAATAACCCTATCTTATGACCCACTTTCTTGACCATGCCTGATACTTAGTGCTAAAAGTTGAGTTTTCTGGAAACAGCAACTGAGATGGAGTTTGGTGTACAGGGTATTAATTGAGCGGGTTGGAGAGAAAGCTGAATTGGGCAAAGGAGTTGAAATGTGATCCAGGCCCATCAAAGCCTCAGCTAAATCCCTGGGGAGTTCTGGAATGTATCAGGACTACAAGAGTTATCCCATGTTGAGCCCAAATAG